AAGAGGTAGCAGAAACTCATCAATGACAGCCTTAAAACATGCTTCATATTTACATTTTAAATGTTTATTCTTTCTGCACTGTGCCTTCAGTCTAGTATTTAAGAGACTTTCAAAAAGGCATAGATAACAGAACATCCAGATATTTACCTTTTCCTTCCTATGAAAAGCAGTTCCATATATTTGCATTTCTTTTTAACCTATGCTGCTAGAAGGAACGGCTTATCGAGAAAAAAAGGTGTCATATCCTATGTCCTAACAATTACTGAATTTTGTGTCCCTCTGGCATCTCATTCCCAAGTCTGACAGCCTTAGAAGAAAACAGTTTTATTTCTTCACCAATTTTGTGAGCTCCAATACCCCTAAATAGTGCAGCCTTGTTGGCAAGACAGAAGGTGTGTTCTACTGCTGACCTATGGATTAATCATTTGGAGAAGGTGATAACCTGGGGTCTACACTGGTTCCTGGGGGGAAGGAAGGGTGGAATAACATCTACGGATCCACCACACACCTGACATTCAGCCTATCGCAAAAGAGACTTTTCTGCAAAAGATTCCTTCTAAGCATTAACCCAACATAAACAGATGTGTTCTTAAGCCAAGGACTACAGCAGTATGTCCAAGATGGTACTTCTCTTTGTCAAATTGTAACGCAGGTTGATTCACTCTTCATACGGTCAAATAATCAAGTGAATGCTAAAGAATGTTAGGAGTTGGGTTTTCTTTAAAGCTTTATATACTTATGCTGTGAGAAGAAAATAATACATCTAGATACCAAGTAGCTGCAGTCACCTGAATTTCAAAAGTATCCTTAGACATTTACAAAGAGGACACTCTCACCAAATTTCAGACCTTATTACAAGTTTTATTTTATAGGTAAATAATTAAATTAGCTCAGAATACTCTCTGAAGAATAGTAGAATATTCAACTACTTGATCTTTAGGACTCAGGCTCATTAAAGAAATCAAAGTAATCTACCAGGGCATTACAGGAGTCAACATCTATTACTGTACGCCATCTCTGTGTTTCTGATAAGATTTTCTCCATTTAAAATACCCACCATATGATTGATAAAATTTATATTTAAGATACAGAAAAGGTAAATTAAATTTTCCTCAAGAAGCAGCAGCTTTAGTTTTAAAGTACCTGGCCCAAACCACATTTCTGTAAGGGACTACTTTCCAGATGAATGGAAAACTTTGAAACAGAATTGAAATCACTTAAGAAAAAAAAAAATCAAGGAAGTTTCTACACTTGCACATCTCGTATCCTTTACAAGCATAAGGGACTGCATACCAGAGACTAGTATTAAAGAGATGAGGGCAGTAATGTAAAGTTTCTAAAGGAAATTTTCTAGTTTGTACTAAACTGACTACAAAAGTAACATCAATATTCATGACCAATGCATACTGCTGATTAAGGAACATCCAGATGTCAAGATCACAGTGTGCACTTGTACTATACAATTCACTTTGAACTCTCAAGTCTAACCCATTAACAAGCCTCCACAATGTCATATCTCTTCAGTGCATTTTATTCACAAACCATCAGGATGAACACTTATGTGCCAACAATGCACAGCATTATAACCTGCTTATAACAATGACTTATTTGATCCAGCAGCTCCTACTACTCTGATGCATCTTAATACATGACAACGATGCCAGCGCATTGATGAGGACTGCCTTTTATAATCCAACTGTCCAAGCTAACGGTGCAATCCATGCAACAACAACAATGTGCATTTTCATTTTCATGCTGCTGGCTTCCTGCAGTTAGCTTCCACTCAGATTTTTGAAGCATGAGTCTCAACTGTTGACAATGGACTCTGAAAGCTGAATCATTACAAGCTACTACTAACTGGGTGGACTTTCAGGTTAAAGACTGTATACCAAATTTCATCAGCAAAGCAAGCCCTGTATAACAAGTATTCGACACCTTTATTTAATTGAGGCTTTTGCAGTCACAGATGATCCTGCTCCTGAATAGGCAGCTAATTCTAGTATTCATGTCACTGATACTGGACACATTTTTACCACAACACCTTTAGAATAACATACTTCTAAGCAGGATTACCTCTGGTTTACACTATGACTGAATTAATAATACTTGTGAATGCAAAATACAATTAAAGCTATTTTTTTTTAGCTAATGCATTACAAGTAGACAATCACTCCTACATTTGTTCTGTGAGGCATGAATATGACCATTTGCATCTTCACAAATGTCATTTCATACAGTGCCTCAAATCCAGAGTAGAAAAATTCCTCAAGTGCTTCACTGGTTTTAAGGGCTCATTTTTAAAGGCTAAAGCACCACTTTGTTTATAACAAAGCCAGTAAATATACACAAGTCAATAAATATGACTGCTGCTTTTAAAGCCTTCTCATCACTTCTGAAGGACAAATAAATAATCTTTTAATGAAGTTTACATGCTGCTACTACTTTCAGACCTCTGAGCTGGTATCAATTCACCAATCTGGGTAGGTTTTGCAAAGTTCATGTGTACTATGTACTTTTTTCTGCCTTTACTTTGCTGCTGATCCGTATTTGAAAGAAGAGCTCTTGGCTTCCTAACCTGGCTGTCAGTCTGAAGCTACCCAAATGGTCAGTCATCTTCCAGTAACAGACAACATACTGAAACTTCAAAAGCACATCTACTTTCCGCTCAAGTGTAAAGCAAGGTGGAAACCAAAATCCATGTACGCTTAAAATACCAACAGCAACCCACCACCCATCCCTAGGTACACAGAGAGCTCTTCGATAATCCCATATGGAAATGAAGAAATTAAAAAAAGTGTTAGGATTTCTAGATTACACTTCTGTTACCATAAAGCCTGTCACTAAACGCAGGATGACTAAGATAAGCACAAGGCGTATCACTTGAACTCCTCATAAACCATGAGGACAGAAGAGTCACACATTAGTAACCACTAAAAACGATAACTGAAGTGGCTAGTATAAAACAGAAAAGCTGATTAAGACATAAAGAGATGCAAAAAGGCTATTTTAAGTTTCAGTACCAGAAGATGACCTAGAACAAGAAAAGAGCTTTGCTAGTGACAGCTAAAGAACCGAGTTACGGACTCCAAACACAGCAGTTCAGCTCAAAAAGCTAGCAGGTGAAGAAGAAGAGGTGCTGATGGCACTTCATGCATATGGGTTCCGTATATCTAAAAGATTTTTCTGTTAGTCACGTAGCATAATATTTGTTAGGACGCTTGGGAGAACATTTTCATGACCACGTGTAAGTCTCAGAAGCATGCATAAATGTAGCTATTTTTAAAGAAGAATGTAATTAACTTTGCTAGTTTTTCTTATTTCTAGACTATAACCTAAATTTGATGTAGTGGAAACTATTAATAAAATAACTAACAAAACATTCAACGCTACCACACTTCTTTGCAATGGTCAAGTCTTAGTAGTTTCAAGATATTGTATTGTTCCAGGGCCATTTGGCTTTGCTGTGTCTGCACTGCTGTCACAAGTAATGACCCTGCTCCACCCTCTGCTTCTAACCTATCCCTCACACTGGCTCCAGCACCTACACGGCAAGGTGGAGCAGGTAACTGACCTAGCAGATGAACCAGTTGAGAAAGACAAACTGATTTAAGATAAAACAGCATCTTTTCAGTCAGGCCTTTTAAAGAAAACTTTCAACCTTTGCTCATTTCAGCTATATTCTGGGTGAAAAAAAAATTCCAGGGTACTAATATCAACTGCTAATATTTCACTCAATTTGTAAATGACTATTTACAAATCCTCCTATTTGTGAGGATCACTGCTGTATTCTAGAGAATAGGAATGGCATAACTAGGGTTTACCTAAGCATACTATTAGAACGTCTAATCAATTTTACAGTTTAAAATAGTATTTAAAATCATAAAATTCACACTTTTCTATCAGCTAATTTCTAATACTGCTGAGTAACAAGTTCCCTCAGCTTTGTTTATCAACAAGAAATTCAATCTGAACTGACCTTTTAACTATTGACATATGTAACAAAAAGTCCTTTAGTTTAACTGCTAACATTAAAAAAACAGTATTAAGAAAATATTCGTAGGTAAGTACATAAGATTAGTACCTGGTCTTCAGCACTCCTTATTTCTCTATATTTGGGAAACACACACCATATATTCAGTAGCTTATATTTAAGCCTCTCTAAGTATGTCAAGTTATCAGTACTTGGAACAACATACCTCAGGGAAGATTTTTTCAACCTGCAGTCAGGATTCTATTAAATTAGTCCAGCTTTTAACTAAAATCAAAATCTAAGCCACTTTTTTTCTTTTTTAAATTTGTCATAGTCCATGTCCAATCCAGTTTTCTACTTCTTGTCAGAGACATGTGCAAGAGAAGTTTGTTATGTATATTTAAGGTAGCTTTTAAAAAATAACACCTGTTTTTAAATAATATACTTTTCCAGGTGTGTAACAGAACCATGCCTGCCAGTTACAGACACTAACAATACATTGTTAGTATTGACACTAACAATACAACTGCTTTTTAGCTAGCACTAGCTTAACGGCTGGACTCGACAACTGTAAAGGTCTTCTCC